GGCAGGTGGGTCTCTGAGTTCAAGGCCAGCCAGGTCTACATAGTGAGTTCCAGGACAGCTGGGGCTACAGGGAGACCATGTCTCAAAAAGACCAAAAATAAATAAATAAATAAATCATCTGAATGCAATATGTCTAAGTGGCAGAGAAGTTGCTCTGTTGTCTTACTGATGGCCTAGGACAGCCCGTGATATGCATAGGAGGCAGAGGCAGGCAGATCTCTTGTCTTGTCTCCATAGTGAGTTCCAGGCCAGCTATGGTTACAGAGAAACCCTATCTTAAAAAAGGGCCCCACACACACAAAAAAAAAGTAATAAAATCTACCTGAGAACTCATCTCCTATGAAAATCTATTCATGGGAACACTTATTTATGCATCTTATATCATTTATGTGTGATTTTTGAAAAAGCTTCATGTGATAGGGCAGGAGGTATAGCACAGTGGTAGAGCACTTGCTAGCATGCACATGCCCCTGAGTTTGATCCACAGAACTAAAAAATTAAGAAGTTTGATGTAATAGAAAGAACATGAGTCTGAAGCAGTTCATAGCCTAATTCCTAGTTTTTGGATCAGCAAATCAGCTCACTACCTTAAGCCTCACTACCTTATGTGTAAAATGTAGACATGAAACTAACTGGTCTTCTAGATCTATGACTGAAAAGTTCTCCTGTGATTTAATAGTCTCACAAATCCAATTGTGTTATGAATCTACCTTTGCTAGATCCAGCCCAGGTGCTGGCGTCTGCACTGCCCAGGGACTGTGTTATCCATGCTGATTGCTTGCTCAGCTGGTGGCATGGAGCGCAATTAGGAGGCAGCATGTCAGCATTGCCATGGTCAGTGTTTAATGCAAAACAGGGAAAACAGGCAAAGAATTAGAAATCATTTTGAAGAACAAACCCCCAGGATAAGTGATTGCTGCAGCATCTGCTTTGTTGCTCAAAGTAGGATGCCTTGCAATCAAAACAACCAGAGTCATAGTTTTTTAATTTGTATATTTAAAAAATGGCTTTCATGGATGAGAGTGGTATGCAGGTCTGAGAGTCTTAACACATGCTTTGATTTGTAGTAATTACTGCCATAGTCAAGATACAAAGTCGCTCCATCATCCTAGAAAACTCAGATCATTGGAATCATGCATATGTAACCTTTCGAGACTGGCTGCTTTCACTCAGCATAATACCTTTGACCTTTATGAACATTGTTGTAGACCAAGTTGTACTATTAGTTTGTTCATTTTCATTGCCGAGTATCATTGTATTGCTAGCTGTCTCTCACTTTGTTTATCCCTTCACCTAGTGATAGACAGATTGCTTTTGTTTGAGGGCAATTATAGAGCTGCTAGAAGCAATCATATATAGTTTTTGTCTTAGCGAAAATTGGAGGTTTTCAGGAAGGGTTTTGTTTTGTTTTTGTTTGAGAAAGTTTCCACCTGTAGCCCAGGGTATTCTTGAACTCAGAATTCTCTGTCCTCAGTCTCCAGAGTTTTAGAATTGCAGACACGTACCACCATGCCTGCGTTTAAACTTAATTTTTATTTCTTTAGGATAAATAGCTAACATGCTGACATTGGAATTGCTAGGTCCTATGGTAACCCTGCATGTAACTTTTTCAGTTGACTCCCACACTGTTTTCCCAGTAGCTGTGCCATTTTATATTTCTACCAATATCATATGTGTGCCCATCATTCAATATTATTTAGTATTGTCATTTTGTTTTGGTGGCATTCTGGTTTGTTTTGTTTGTTCAGATAGATTTATAATAATATCTCATGATTTTAATTTGCATTTTCTAAATCACTAAGGATGAACATCTTTTTTGTGTTTATTTGCTACTCATGCCTTCCTCAGTGAAATGATTTCAAATCTTTGTTTTCTTCCTAAAGTTTTATAGTTAACATTTTATATGTAGATCTGTGGTGTATTTTGAATTGAATTTTTTTTTTTTCTGGTCTTTTTGAGACAAGGTCTCCCAGTAGCCCCAGCTGTCCTGGAACTCACTTTGTAGAGATCCGCCTGCCTCTGCCTCCCAAGTGCTGGGATTAAAGGTGTGCGCCACCACTCCCAGCGAGGAATGTGACTTAAATAGACATTTTTCTCTCTTGGAATGTAGATGCTCAAATGTCCCAGGTTGTCTAAGTTCTCTTTTCTCCACTGAGTCACCTTTGTACCTGTTGGCAATGCACTGGTCATAGGTGTGTGACTATATTTCTGATCTTTGCTTTTATTTCTTTGCAAATTACATTACAGCTTTATAGTTATTGTTAAAGTCAGCTATGTGAGTCATCCAAACTTGCTTTTATTTTTCATAATTGTGGCCATTCTAGCTCCTTTACCTTTGCATAGACACTTTAGAATCAGCTTTCTGATATTTATCAAAAGAAAATATCTGAGATTTTACTATATTTAAAGATCAGTTTGTGGGGAGTCAGTATCTTAAGAGTATGGAATTTCCCAATCTCTAAACATATTTTCTCTTCATTTAGGGTGTTTTTATTCCTTTCCTCTGCATTTTAATTTGACTTCATCAACACTTAACAGTTTAATGCACACACATACATACACACATCCTACACACATTTTGTTAGATTTCTAAGGGTTTTTTGAGTTTGTTTGTTTGTATGTTTGAGACAGGGTCTCCCTGTAGCCCCAGCTGGCTTACTACTCACTATGTAAATCAGGCTGACCTTAGTCTCACAAAGATCTGCCTGCTTCTGCCTCCAGAGTAATGGAACTAAAGGCAGCATTTTTTTTTTAAGATGTCATTGTGGATGGTTTTATTTTTAAATTTCTATCTTCAACTGTTTTTAGGAGCATACAGAAATGTATTTTGTACATTGGCCTTATATCCTGTGATGTAACTAAACTTTTATCAGTTATGGGAGCTACTTTGTAGATTCTTGGGAATTTTCTACATTCATGATTATATAATCTGAAAATGAAGACATCTGGTTTTTAATTAGTATGCTTTTAATTCTTTTTTAAATATTATTTTTATTTTATGTGTATGCGTGTATTGCCTGCATGTAGGTAAGTGCACCCATGTCGTGCAATGCCTGTGGAAGACAGAAGAGACTGTCAGATCCCCTGGAACTGGACTTATGGACAGTTGTTAGCTGCCATGTATGTGCTGGGATTCGAACCTGGGTCTTCTGCAAGAACAGTCAGTGTTCTTAACCACTGCACTTTCTCTCTAGCCCCTGCTTTTAATTCTTGAGCCTGGCATTGCACTGACTTAGGTTTCAGTAGAGGACTGCATAGCAACAGTGTCTGCAAATGCTTACATCATTCCTGATCTTGGACGAAAATATCTTCACCCACTGTGATATTAGCTACGGCTTTTTTTTTTTTTTTTCTTGAGACAGGGTCTTCCTATAGTCCCAGCTGGCCTAGAACTCCCTATGTAGATCAGGCTGGCCTCAATCTCACAGAGATCCACCTGCCTATGCCTCCTGAGTGCAGGGATTAAAGGTATGCACCACCATGCCCAACTTCATGGCTCTTTTTTTAAGTTGTAAGTTGTTGTTTTTTTTAAAAGTTTGTTTTTGTTAAGTCATTTTTCTCTATCACCTGATGATAACATGGCTTTTCTTTTTTTTTAATTCTGTTCTATTCTGGTGTGACATTGATTTTTGTAATTGGACTAGCCTTAAAGTTCTTAAAGTCTACTTGGTCTTTGTGTATTTTTTAAAATATGTAATTGGATTTGGTTTGCTAATGCCTTTACATCCAAATTCATAAAGGTTATCAGGTTATCACTTTCTTGTATTATCTGTATCTATTTTTGGTATCAGAATGGTGTCTCTTAAAATGAATTAAAAGTGTTCCCCCTCTAGTTTCTAGAAGAAATATGGAGAATTGATGCTGTTGTGGTATAATTCATTAATGAAATCATCTGGGTCAGGAATTTCTCTTTTGAAGTACTTCTTTTTTTTTTGTTTGTTTTTGGGGTTTTGTTTTGTTTTTTGTTTTGTTTTTTTTTTTTTTTTTTTTGTTTTTTTTTTTTGAGACAGGTTCTCCCTGTAAACCCAGCTGGCCTGGAACTCACTATGTAGACCGGCCTGGCCTCAAACTCACAGAGATCCACCTGCCTCTGCCTCCAGAGTGCTGGGATTAAAGGCATGCAGCACCTCGCCCATCTTTTGAAGTGTTTCTAACTACAAATTTAATTTCTTTAACAGATATAGAATGAGTCAGGATGTTTGGAGGAGGGTGAGTTTTAGTAGTTTGTGGCTTTTAAGGAGTTATTTGGTTCAACTTGTTGAATGCACTTTTATACATAGACATGTTCAAAAATTTTTTTTAATATTTTCTTTATTATTTTTATATGTGTCTGAGTATACTGCCTGCATGTATGTGAGTGCACCTGTGTTGTACAGTGCCACAGAGGTCAGAAGAGGGCTTCAGATTCCCCTGGAACTAGAGTTAAGGACGGTTCGTAACTGCCATGTGGGTGCTGGGAATCGAATCCGGGTCCTCTGCAAGAGCAGTCAGTGCTCTTAACTGCTGAGCCATTTCTCCAGCCCCCAAAATATTTTAAGATATTCCCTTTTATCTATTCAATGTCTGTGTAGTTAGTGGTGATGATGATAACCCCTCTTCTATTCCTGATATTGATAATAAGGTCTTTTCTCCATTGTTTTTTCTCTAAGCTAGGGGTTTATCTATTTTATTCATCTTCTGAAAGAATCATCTTTTTTGTTTCATTGAATTCTTCTATTCTGTTTCCAATTACATTCTTTGAAAAAAAAAAAAAACAGGGTCTCATTATTGGCCCCAAAGTCACAAAGATTCACCTGTCTCTGCTTCCCAAGTGCTGGAATTAAAGGCATATGTGTGCCACCATATCCAGCCCTTTGTTTTCTTCCACATACTTATTCCATGAAACTTGATAAAGACTAAGGTTATCAGCATCATTGCACAAAATCACTATAAATTAGATTTTTAATTTATTCTCTTATGAGAGCTGTCCTAACAGTTCTCCATGTGTTGGATCCTTGCAGTTGACTGGTCTGAGTGTCTCCAATGGAAAGGACCAGCTTGTAGTGTTCCACACAAAAGACAACAAAGACCTCATTGTCTGTCTCTTCAGCAAACAGCCAACTCATGAGAGTCGAATTGGAGAACTTGTTGGAGTCCTGGCAAATCATTTCAAGAGGTAAAATTTTATTTTTGTAACTAATAGACCAGTTTTAAATATACTAAATCTTTAATCATACTTATCACTGAACAAACTTGTTCTGTGCCACATGTGAATATACTGAGTTATTTTCCTCCATAAGGACAAATTAAAGCACCTATTTCATGGAAGGTAAAATTAGCATCCCCTTAGTTTCAAGATCAGGAATGATCCTCTGCTTTTCCAGCATGGAGCTGCACCAACAATGAGAGATTCCCTCATGGTTACTTCTTTGCTGCCAATCCAAATGTAATTAAATCCAAACAATAGAAGAAAATTATATTCTTTTTGCCATAGCTTCTCATTTATCTCAAACTTAATCAGTTAGTGTGTCTGCTATGACTACAAACAAATTAGAAGGCAGATTTAAGATAACATGTAGGTCCATAAAGAACGAAGAAATTCCCAGGTCAGGCAATAATAATTGCCACAGGAACAGCAGTGACAAAAAAGGGCATATTCTGAGGCTGTCACAGTAAAGTCGGACATTATACAGGGTATGCGTGTATGGAGAACAGTGATACAGGAAATACAGAGAGCACAGCAAGTGATGGGGACCAGTCTGTGAATGATTTTCAGCAGGGAGTGATTCTGTCGGGTTACTTGTTGAAGCTGTTGGAGATGTTTTCCTTCCTGTAAGTGGTCTTGAAATATTGGGGCTGGGCCCATCTTCCCAATTTAAATGATCTGTGGCATATTGTATTTGCTCCCTAACCCTCTCTTGATGCAGGGACAATATCACTCATGAAAATCAGTGACCATGAGGTAGTATAAACAATGATAGCAGTTCCTTTTCTTCCTGAAAGGCATTTCCAAAGTTTTCAGGAATGATCCAGTATTATTCTTGTTAGTGTTTTCAAGTGGACCCTTGACTTCTCTTTACCTAAAAGTCATGTTTAGAATCAGATGTCCATAAATTCCACTGTGTTTATTTTTGCTGATTAATTTATAGAGTATAATTTAAGCAGTGGGCTGCACTATTTTTTGTTATTAAGACATGCTGTAAATCCAAATGGATTTTTTTTTTTTTTTTGGTTTTTTTTGGAGCCGGGTCCCCCCTGGAGCCCCCGCGGGCCTGGATTCACTAGGGAGCCCAGGCTGGCCTCAACCCCACAGAGCCCCCCCTGCCTCTGCCTCCTGAGTGCTGGGACTAAAGGTGTGCACCACCATGCCCCTCTCAAAATGGATTTTTAAGTGTTTTATATAATTAAATATTTCTAGATGTCATAAGTAAAATTTTACTTAGTGGTCATCTGGTAGAAAAAAATTAGAATGTAAGGAATTACCAAAAAAATAACAATGTAGATATAGAGGCTTTTGTGGTAGCTCATCCTGACTGTCAGCTTGACTGGACTGAGAGACACCTTAAGACTTTAATAAGGTGCCAGGCATGGTGGTGCATGACTTTAATTCCAGCACTTGAGAGGCAGAGGCAGGCGGATCTCTTTGAGTTCAAGGCTAGGCTAGTCTACATAGTGAATTCCAGCACAGCTGGGGCTACAGGGAGACCCTATCTCAAGAAGGCCAAAAAAAGACTTTAATAAGGTACAGTTCTGGGTGTGTTTCTGAGGTCATTCCCAGAGACAATTAACATGTGGGGCAATAACTCAAAGGGAAAGACCAACTCTGAATGTGAGTTGTACCATCCAAGAGACCTGGGGCCCAGATGGATTCCCCTTCATCTGCCAAATAACTGTAAAGCTAATAAACATACAAAAGAGTTTAGAACGGAAGGTAATGTCATGAAACCACCTCTGCAATAAATATCTATAACTCACATAAGCAGACATGTTTTCCTATAAGTATTTAGTTATAACAAAGTATGGACAATTAAAGGAATCATAGTTTATTTTCTTTAGCTTGGATGCTTGCACTAATGAATACAGTAGTTTTTGCATAAGGAATTTTTTTTGTCTTTTTGAGACAGGGTCTCCCTGTAGCCCCAGCTGTCCTGGAACTCACTATGTAGACCAGGCTAGCCTTGGACTTGCAGAGATCCACCTGCCTCTGCCTCCCAAGTGCTGGGACTACAGGCGTGCGCCACCACGCCCAGCTAGGAATTAAATATTTTTGTCTCAGTCTGAGTTCTTATTCAGTAAACTCTACCCCTGTGAAAGGTCTCTCTGTGATAGAAATAGAACCCACCAGTGGCTCTCTTAGCTGTGCATTCTGAAATACACTTCTAGGTGTGTGTCTCCTAACTTTAATATATGTAAGAATTTCTTTAAAATTCATAAATAGGGGGCTGTAGAAATGGTTCAGCAGTTAAAAGCACTGACTGCTCTTGCAGAGGACCTGGGTTCAGTTTCCAGTACCCACAAGATAGCTAACAACCATCCATAACTCTAGTTCCAAGGGATCTTACTCCCTTTTCTGACCTCCGTGGGCATTGCATGACATGGGTACATTTACATATAGGCAATATATTCATTCACATAAGATAAAAATAATAAATAAAATATTTTTTAATTCCTAAATGTAAGAAGTTGCCAAGATAGTAGGGCATTTTTCTAGTTTATTCTTCGCTTTCTGTCAGATGAATTTAGAGGTCAAGTAGTAATAAGATACTAATCTCTTTGCTGAAACCAGAAAAGTCAGACTTGAAATTTCAGCTTGACCTTATAATCATCAACCTGCTATTGATTTGATGAGGAAAAGTTTATTTCATTTTTTTCTGGCCATTTTCCTTTATTATTCAGATCTCTTATCATTGATGTGACAATGAAATTCATGGTGTTTTTACAAGCATAATGTTATAGCATATAATCTTATTTTTCCCTCAGTTAAGGATGGAAATCCAGAGGGGAGAAGGATTGAACTCCAGAAAATTCTTTATTTTCTAAATCTTTTCACTAAAGCACATTATGAGAAGTCCTCTAGTCAGAAGTTGGAGGGAAGGAAGCTAAGAATTGCAAAACATACCATAAGTCCATAGATAGTTTGCTGCTGCTGCTGCTGTTGTTGTTGTTGTTGTTGTTGTTGTTGTTTTGTTGTTGTTAGACAGTCTTACTATGTAGCAAAAATTTAGCCAAGTTTCAGAGAAAAGAGAGGCATATGCAAATTTTTTTTAAAGATTTACCTTTTTATTTACGTGTGTGTCTGTCTGTGTCTGTGTCTGTGTGTATATACCATTTATACCTGGGTGCTCACAGAAGCCAGAAGAGAGTATTGGATCCCTGGGAACTGGAGTAACAGGCAGATGTGAGCCACCCTACATGGATATGAGAATCAAACTTGTGTTCTGTGGAAGAGCAGCAAGGGCTCTTCACTGAGCCATCTCTCTAGCTCCCAAGACATATACAAATTTTAGAGGAAAAAAAAAATCTCATTTGATTAGGTTATGACAATACGATATACAAAACAAAGATAGGACAAGAAGAAAATAGAGTCCAGTACCACTTGAGTCAAAATTTTTATTTAATCCTAAATTAAATGCCTACAATCTAGATCCAAGACTATTTTTATAAGGAAAACGCATCCTAGCTGGTTGTGGTGGTGCACGCCTTTAATCCCAGCACTCAGGAGGCAGAGGCAAGAGGATCTCTGTGAGTTCAAGGCCAGCCTGGTGTACATAGAGAGTTCCAGGCCAGCTGGGGCTACAGGGAGACCCTGTCTCAAAAAGACCAATAACAATAATAATAATAATAATAATGCATTGTTACTAATGAGGCTGTACCCTTAGAATACGAGGAAATTAAATCCACCAGATTAAAGGAGAAAAGAATTTTGTCTTCCCAGTAGAAGACAAAAATACTATTTCCTAAAAGGCAATACTCACTGCTAATGAATAAGCATGCAAAATGAGTAAATACAGGAAGGAGAACAAACAGAAGGCAAACTTACAGCTGCTGACCAGAGCCAGCTGAACAGAAATGGTCTCATGGCCACCACCCAGGGGGGCTGTGGCCTAAGGAAATTTTTTGAAGCTCTTCCTTACCCCAGTGAAGAACACATACAAGCTAAGGGAAGAATGGCCTGTGTATAGGAGATGGCAGAGGTTGCTGTGAGGCCCCAACCCAAATGGAAACTATATTACAACCTCTGCTCAGGGGCTGCCCTTCAGCAAGTATTTTCCCCATGAAAGACAAATAAGAAGCCAGGACATGGCAAGAGAACTATGCAAAGAAAATAAGCAAAGGCAGATAAAGAAAAGGGAAACTATAGGAATACGCTTTATGTATGTATATATAAAAAGAAAAAAGACAAAGTTGAGAGTGGTGCACATTCCTGTAATCTCAGCATTCAGGGTACTCAGGCATGAGAATCAAAAGTTTGAGGCCAACCTCAACTACAGGGTTTTTAAAAGGACAAAAACAAGGTAGAGCAACAGTAACTAAACCTTAAATATCAACCAAAAATAGATAAAATATGTGAAACAACCATTTTCAAGGACGAGGACATTAGTCAAGGAAGGAAGGACAATGCTCACTGAGAAGTGAAAACAAGGTGTCCTGCTGGGCCGAGTTGCCAGGCCAGAGTGCATGCAGGGGACCCAGGTGGAACACAGTAGGTTCCCTGAGACTATAGATGGTGTGAGGAGACTAGGGCAGCAAGTCTGAAGATCAGAGTACCAGAAAGGAAAGGTATACAAAAGACCCCTAGAGATCTGTGTAGGACCCCCTCAGCCATTCCCAGGATCTGTATCCCAGGATACAGATCCCTCCCACAGCTGAGGAATGGCACCTGGCACTCATGGCCAGGAGCAACACAGGTCCTACCAAGGAAGACTGGACACTCGGTCATTCACAAGCATTTGTATGAGGATCTTGCCTCAGGAGGAGGAATAATTGTCCCTACACTCAATACTGCTGTAAGTAAATGCTGCCTAGTAAATCTTCAAAGCAAAATCCTCAAGGACCAAACTGCTTTCCAATAGCTTATGTCCTGAGGCAAAGCTCATGAGTATTTATAAGAATACAAAAATTTTTACACCCAATAAGATAGAATTCACAATGTCTAGCATCCAATCAAAGATTACC